AAACTAGGGTGAATGGGCGCGAAGGGGTCCTCCTTGCCGATAGCTTCGAGCAGCAGAACAGCCGCCAGCCGAGCGGATCACCCTGTATAGCAACGGCAGCCTGCGGCTCTTCCACGCGCAGCGAGAGGATAGCGGGCACTATGTGTGTCAGGTGATCCGACCGTCTCCTTGGGGACACGTCACGCAAGTACACGAGATCGAAGTGATGTGTGAGTACACCGCCACCAAGATGTATATATATGTGCCCGCGATAAGCGTGTCCCCGAAGCATGTAGCGTCCCAAGGGGTAATCCGTCTCCCGTACACCGAGGCGAATCGAAAGCGCGTCGAAAGGATTCGAGAGTCCCCTCCGGGTCTGCAAATCCGAACTGAAACGTCTATCTGTCTTCTCTCGCGACGCTTATCTACGACCACCTCCGACCGTTTGGCTTCTATAGACCTCTGGGACACCTCTCCCGTCCCGTCGAAGCGGAGAATCTGAATTTTGCATGAGCGTGTAAACGACGTAAAGTCGGCTTACGTCCCACGTGACAATGACGGTGAATTTATTTGTTCGCTCGCGCGATTTGTCTCTCTCTGTTCAGATCCGCCTAGCGTGAAGACGGTGCCGGAGTCCGGCGAGTTGGAGGTCAATCTCGGGGGATAGGGTGGAAATGCAATGCGTGACGAAGGGTGTACCGGCCCCCGTCATAAGTTGGAGGACGAAGGTAATCGATATTCCTGGACTGTTCGATATACCATTGTGCCAACGATATTACCAGTGATCCGCGTCAAAGTACGATGGGAAATCACTCGATTGACGGGGAGGGAAAGAAAATGCGGGGGGAAAAAAAGAGGAAAGAGAGAACCGGACGCAACGCGGACGTCCGTTTTGCGGGATTCCTCGCGCGGCAGAAGCGTTCGATCGGACAATAAGTCAATTAAATTGAAGTGGGTCGTATGTTGTCGCGGGTGATAAAGCGCGCGCTGTCTCTTTTTCTTCTTCTTCTTCTTCTTCTTCTTCTTCACAGGATGGAGAAATCCCGTTATTGGACGCCAGGCCGCAATTGAGATTTCATGCCGACCATCAGAATCTTACGGGCAGGTATACCTGCGTCGCCGATAATGGAATCGGCGATCCCGCCGAAGGACACATAGACCTACGTATCAGATGTGAGTGTATCTCGGTGTATCCTCGTTAAAATGTGATACATCCGATCTCGCTGTGACTACTCGCATGTGTGCTCGATATAATTGTAGTTGGGCTTTACAGAGTCGTTTCGGGAGCATCCGCGATTAATTGAGTTTAATTACGACCGCCTGTACCGAAACGGTATCATGCAAATCACGCCCTACACCTCTTCGCACCGCCTAGAAGGATAATTAAGAAATTGCTGCAGATTGCTCCCTTTAGTATTCCAATCAAACGCATGAGCGAGTCAATTATGCTGATTGTACTGTTGCTACGAGTGTTTTGCAGATGTTAATCAACCTTCGCGGCGCACCAACAAGCCTTTCGCAATATTGAAACTACTCTCTTCATGTCTCAAAAGTAGAACTTTAAACATACAAACATACAACACAGCCATATTCTTGCTTTTAATTAAATGGCTAAAGATGACTTTTGCCAAACTTCAATGACTTATCAATCATAACTTATCAATAACTTTGCTATTTTATTTCATTGCATGGAGAGAATTGATATTTTTTAATTTAATTTAATTTGATAATCTTAATTTTTGTAATCTTAATTTTTATATATATTTTATAAATATTATAATATTTTATATATAAAATAATAAAATATATTAAATCAGATAATGAACTGTATAGTTTGAAATTTTGTTTTAAATAATTTTATTGATCGATAATAAATTGCCGATCAAGTTAATCAGAATTTGGCCAAAATTAATCTCAGTAAAGCAATTAATTCGAACGAGATTATTAATCACAATCGAGCTACGATTTCTTTTATAATCTTTCAACGTTATATATTGTGTACAAATATATTGTGTCTATACAAAAATACAGATAAGCCGGAGATACACGTGGACAAGCCATGGATGCACGCATACATAGGAATGCGAGTATCTCTACAATGCAAGGTGATTGCGTGGCCTATGCCAGAGGTGAGGCTTACCTTTCTCTTAAGATCGTCAATAAAGCGTGATTGCGCATTAATTAACAGTCGAACAATAATTAACGCGTAACTTACGAAGAACGCGCGCATGCGCGTATTTACGAGTCACTTCGGCGTGACGTAATCGGACTTTTAATTACATCCGCTAATGCGGACTTTGCACTGGAGACAATGACGTAATTGTAGACAGTTTCTAATATACTGTTGCAAAATGCAACCCTTAAATCAGGATTTTCCACGACAAAATAAGTTAGTCGAAAAACAGTGCGAAAAAAGTTTTATTTTTGCAAGAATAAAGACCTCGCCCCTTTCGAGAGCCAATGATGAAAAATTATAATCACATGTCCCGGTCGAATGATCTTGGCACCCTTATTAATTGCGAAACGACGTAAAATACTTTGGAAGACAAAACGGAGATCCTTGACACACATATCGTTCCCTCGTGCACGTATCGTAAAAATAAATTCACGCATCGAGCTTACCGAAACTTAAACGCGTGATTAAAATTTTCCCTCTTACGTCATACGATAACGTAGCACCCCGATACGATACGATCGATCAATCGTGTCTCCAATACAAATACGAGATATTTTTCTGCTGTTACGGCAGAACTCGTCTTTTAAATTTCAACGAGTTCCTCACGCTCGGTAACTAAATGAAACCGGCCCTCCTATCTGCCAAGCAATTTCTCACCGTGATCCCTTAAAGCCAGTCGCACGTGACAAATCGATTCGTGGGGGAACGTGACTTACCGTACCTTTTTTTTTTTTATTTCCCCGCAAAAAAAGAAGCGCGCGAATCAGGGAGGACTATGTTGCTGCCACGACACTCGACAGCCGATCCGGCGAGAAAACAGTATATTCCTCGCAACGAGAAATCGTAAAAACTAACGTTACGATAAATTGCGGATCGCGGGTAACTTAGCAATCTGATTTCAGGTTGAATGGTACTTCCACAACGACTCAATCAAGGCGTTGCAAATAATAGACTTCTCGCACATCGACAGTTTGTTTATGCATCATTTGAACAAGGACAATCTCATTAGCAGGTTACGTATAATGAATGTAAAGGAGGAGTATTACGGCACCTACATTTGCAGAGCCTCGAACGCCTTGGGAACCACCGAGAAGATCATCGAACTGTCGCCGATCGCGAATCCGGCGGTGTTCAAGAAGGAGTCGCGCAGCACGTCCAACACGTCGTACAACTTCATCTGGGAAGTCGACAGTTACAGTCCCATCATCGACTATCAGTTTTGGTTTCGCAAATACAGGGTGAGGTAGCCAAATCGTCGTCGATCGATAAAGAGTACACAGCCTCTCGTGCATGCAAAATCCTGAGAAAATCGGTGCGAATCAAATCGACGTCTCGTGAACGAGGCGTGGGATCCGTCCGTTCCGTTGGTTTCGTGCGTTGCTCACGTTACGATTTTGATAGCTGCCGCGCATGCAAGAGCGGTCGCAGGAATAATTGAACAAAAGGCAATGCCCGGCGGCTTATTACTAGAATCTCCAGCTATAAAATACGTTTTTTGTTTTAACCGCTCCCCGAATCCGCGATAAGACAAAAGAGAACAAAATGTAGAATATTGAAGTAACTTTTGTTTTTGGTTTTCCGTGGTTTGCGGTGGGCTTTGTAAGCTGCTTTATCAGCCAATATTCTTTTCCATTTATTTTCTCCTTCTTGCTAAATCGTCCCTTGTGTTTCGTCTCGGTTTCGAAATAAACAAGTGAAAAATATTGGAAGTACAATCAGTTTTACTGAAAAGAGCACAAGGAGTCATAATGAGATGGACTTAATTTAAACGTACAGCCAATGATACAAAAAATAATTAACATAACAATTCTGTTTTTTTACAGTACATACAGTGAGAAAAGGCTAAACAACGCTTTGTTTTTTCGCTCGTTACGTTTAGCCTTTTCTCCATAATATTGCGTTGCATATTACAAGTTTTTTTAATTTTTATTTATTTTTAATTTTGTTCTATTCTTTTTTTCTATTCTATTCTTTGTTCTATTCTTTATGTTTTACATCTCATAAAAATGTAGTGTGATATTAATATTACATCGTCATATTATCCTCGGTTCTTTGCCCTTTAAAAATCGATTTAAGTATGATCGCGGAGATCATTACCTCTTTTCTTTTCTTTACATACCGTAGAGGGGTGTTGGTGGCGAATGGCACAAAGTGTATATACCTGGTGATGACGGCGTTACCGGTAGCCCGGTGCACGCTCGCTCCTTCAATCTGACGGGGTTGGACGTGGCGACCCATTACGAGGCGGTCGTTTTGTCCAGAAATCGTTACGGATGGAGCCGCCCCTCGGAGATACTGCGCTTTCACACCGAAGGAGCTCGTAAGTAATAAAGATAAGTCGTTCGCATATATCCACCGCCTCTGCCTCTCATTCCTCCTCGCGTTCGCGAACTAGTGATTGCGAGGAGAGATACGTCCAAGAGGAAACTCGAATTGCACGTGATAGTATACCGCGTCCTATTTTGCACGTTGCAGCTGTCGATTCCAGCGAAAATATCGAGACGGATGGCGATCAGGAGAAGAACAAAATAACAGGTGAATATGACAGTTCTATTTTAATCTTTTTTTCTCATAGCTAATTGCTCGGTCTTAAGCTTTTACATCCTTAATTATAGTATAGGCTAAATTGGTTATATCACATGACATTTTGGCTTAAACAGACTACTAGTGGTCGTCAGAATTTTTTCAAAATTCAAGAATTACTCTCATCAGAGTAATTCTTGGCAATTAGAAAAATAAATTACATATCATTTGTTCAATTGTTTTATATCCAATGAGGAACATGTGTCTCTCACGAATATATTGAAAAATTCTGTGTTAGATATTGCAATGTGTTTAAATAACTCTCGTTTTATAAAAAGAGCTGTTGAAATTTTAATGAAAAGATGTGATAAATATAAGTATTATATCTCTATGTTATTCTTGAATAAAATTATGGATTTTTTTCAAGTATGTTATATATATGTATGAGGATGTAAAGGATTAAGAAACACAAAAACTTATAATTAGAAAAATTTTTAAGATAAAAATTAATAATAAATGTTGTTTATAGTTGTACAGCTGTCATCTATATCGCAGCATTATCTTTTGGCATCGGATGCAAACAGATCAGCGTACAATCGAGCACAGGCATTGTCTTTAATATTAAGTATGCTGTGTATCTCAGTTCTAACATACAACAGTAGATTTTAAGTGATGTATAAAAATGCGAAGAGGAACATAAAGTGGATTGTTGTAATTTATGTATATTTGGTACGACTATCTTGTTAAAATATTACCGCTGTCCATCATATTACTTAATCATTTTCATTGACTAAGATGTGTCATTCGTACATAATCGGTCATTTTACTCATAAAAATCATATAACGCAAAAAAGTTGACAAGTTTTTATTATCTCAAGATTTCATTGTAAAATTTATACTACAGTTATACGAATTATTTATGGAATTAAAACAATATAAAATAGATATCAGATTTCAAGTATATCCACAATGAACTCGTCGGTAAGCACTACATAGTTCGGAAGAAAACCTGCCTTTTATCGTTTGGACTGTATCGTCAGTCGAATCCAGTTGCAGGAATTTTGTTACGTACAGGATTTGCTTCAGCGAGTTCTATGAAGATTGAAAGCTGTATTATCGACAAATATCTTTTTTTTTTCATCATTTTCTTAATTTTATTCATACCTTTTCGAAGTAGTTTCAGTTTCAAAATAATAAACGTGTGGAGATATTGGGAATATAATGGGTTTACTAACAGGACATCGTAAGGAATCATAATGAAATGAATTTAATTTAAATGTTGTACAGCCAGTGAGAAAAAAATCTAATAATTCTGATCTTACTGCTTGACTGTAAATTGTTTTGTATTCTTGTACAATTATCTTATAATTATATAATAATATAGTATAATATTAATATTATATCAGACAGATTCACACAACGTCCGTGGTATGAAAAGGGACTCTTGGCCCTTTGTTGATTCTTTTTTTTTTCCTTTCTGTTTACCTTTGCTAATAATCGCTCCCATGATGACTAAACATATGTAGCGCAAAATACTTGATAATCGGTCTCGTTTAAAAGTGAAAAATGTGTAAAAACGTGAACCCTCGATGCAACGACAGTATAGAGCATTGTTTTTTTTTGTTTCCGGGAAGTTAATTCGCGATGTACTGTATTCCACTTGATTTTCTTTTTCTTATCTCGTAATAGTGGGTTTTGGGATTCGCTGGAATACTCCTAATTCCTGTCAGTAGCTCGAAGCTTCTCCTCAACAGCCTCTTCGGAGGCCTCCGACAGATCTGTCGCCTGTATGTACTTTTGCACACCAACCAGCGACTTTTTCAAAGCGTCAAAGGAACTCGAGTACAACATCTTCTTCTTAACCTTGGCCGTGTCGGGACACCACGACATCAAGAACAATTTCTGTTTCTTGGATGCCTGAGAAAAGAATGATTAAAATAATGTACTTCCAGAAACATTCGTTATAATTATCAAGTAACATTTACACAAAATATAATATATATATATATATACCTCGGAAGTACCCTGA